GTGCAAGTTACGCTTAAACGGGAAACACTTGTAACGTTATCTAGATTAAAAGAGCTTTTAGATCAGCAATAGTTAATTCAAGTCTTGCTCTCCTTAATCTTTGTACTTGAATTCCCCCTGAGTCTCTTCCAGTATCAAATTCCTCCACCCTTCCTACCACCAAGCAAGTGCATTAAAAAGATGTATTTGAAGTAAAATGCCCATATTCCACCACTGATGCTGACATGAAGCAGATCTATAACAGGATAGATGCACTGGATCGTGTTGTGTTGAACTTTTTTATTATTCCTGGGTCCATTATCTTATTGGCCGGTGCCAATTTCGTATTGAAATTGTTTTTGTCACTACTGATGTGGCAGATAATTTTAACTATTCACTTTATGAAAAAATCAAACTAGCTACTTTGTAGTTCTTGTCAAAATGCATGAGATTCTTAATTTTTTTTTTTTTTGTAGTTTTTGTCAAGATGCATGAGATTCTCAATGATTTTTGTTCATCTGCTCCTATTTGCATGTAAGACAAACTAGTATTAAGCCATGGGCAGCTCAATTTGTCAGATTCCTGTTCTACGGCCATTTCTTTCTAGATCAGCAACATTTCCTTGCACAATACTGAACCACCTATTGGGAAAATGTAGTGAACTAGAGTGAAATATCTAAAAGCCCTGTTGATTTCTAATATTCATTCTTTCTTGCATTTTTTTCCTGCAATTTGCCTCAATACTGGGTGTCGGCACAGTGCCACATCCCCAGAGTTTTTTCCCCAAACTCTGACGATAACTAGCAATGAGTACCCTCCCTCTCCTCTATGACACTGCTCATCAAACACGGGCAACTCTCGGTTAGTGGAACCGTCCCTGGCCCATATGTCCCGCCCTCCCCTACATTTTTTTCTGCACTTCCTTTCTTTGGTGGTGGGTGGTGGTGGGTGAGACGGCAGTGTAGGGGGAGGCAGCTTGGGTGGTGGTGGGTTGGCAGACTCTTGGCCTATCCTTAGGACCACTCGCCACCTAGCCTCACTGCTTTGATGTCCTTTTTCCCACTGATTCTTTAGGCACTTCATCTTTTCCTCTTCAAGCCTTTAGCCTCTTAGGCAGTTGGCAATATGGACGGTTCTGAGCGAGAAAGGGCGTGAGAGGGAGAGAGAGATCATTGGCCTATGCACATGTTTTGACAGTGATTGAGCTGCCCGCAGCCACCATACTCTAAAAGGACGCATTTACTAATACATAATACAATAATAATACAAATCCGCCCAAATTTGAATTTCAATATGTGGACGGTTATTTGGCCATTTTGAGGGTGAGCCTGCCCTTGGCCTGCTGCTGCCAGGGATGTCAAGGATGGGTGAAATCAGGTCAGGTCACAAGGTCTACTAATTGACTCCTTTGTGGAAAAGCACTTGTAGAACCACCTATGTTGTTGCCTCTTTTGCATCAACTATTTCAAACTTGTATCGATTAGTTAAGATAAGTGTGAGGGAAAGGTCACAACTTTTTAGAGAATTTACATTATTCATTAACTGAAAGAATATTATATAGCCAAAATGTAAAGTCAATCACATAAATTGATATGCCAATAATACAATATCGAAGTTCGTTATAATCCAATACAATAACTATACCACACTGAATGGCGCCTTTTAGTTTTAACACATAGCTTGCCACTTAAATTGGATATAAGAAATAAGTAAAAGAATTCCTTTCTTTACATGCAATGATTGAAATCATCAAATTATTAGTAAACAATTAGAATTACAGAAATTAGTGCAAATTATATTTAAGCAAGATGAACTACTTATACCAAGCAATTTAAAATACACTAGTAAACACTACATTTTTCTGGTTACATGAGGTTGAGAATTAATAAGGCCTTCCTCTGGCACGTGGCCTGACTGTTTCACATCTTTCCATAAATTTTTTCTGCCACATGATGCCTTCCTCTTCATTTGTGGGGATCTTGTCTGTCTTCCCCAGCATTACAGTCCAGTACTTTTCCGTGATAGCCTTGAACCATAACTTTAAATCCTTTGGATCGGGTTCCTCTTCCTGCCAGCGACATTGCTTTGACTGGTAAATAACTGGTAAATAATGCAACATGTTAGACCAGTTCTTACGCAAGAATTGCTTAAGATTCTCACCAGGGGTTGCGAGCTTTACCCACAAATCAGAGACTGTAGAAATTTGTACCAGGCTGTCTTTTTCATCCATACCAATTAAGACCATTTCTCCATCTGGTAGTTTATATGTATGCTGGAATGTTTGCTGCTCTTTGTCTGCATCCCAATTTGTTAGGTGCGGGCCTGATTCGCTGCATACTTGAACCAGGTCATATACTTCATACTCCACAAGTATAATTGATGGCTGTTCTACATCATTATCTTTAGTCTGCTGAAAATCAGGCAATGCAGAAACGTATGTAATATTGTCTATTAGGCCTTTGGGTTGAGTTGCTGGCTGCTGAATAAGGAATTCATCAAAGCTGCCATTAAATTTCGGATACATGATATTGTAAAGTTCCATATCATACTGATTTGATGGATTAGCTGTGAAATCAGTGGCACTCTCAACCAGCTCTGTTCTAGCGCCGTTACGGCCAAGATTACTTTGAAGAACAGCAAGAGGAGCCTGGTAATTTGTTAAATGTTGTTGGTCGGATCCATGTGCAGGTTCCTGTAGAGGCATGCATTGTAACGGGCGTTGAGGATGGGACTTTTGCTGAGGGCTTGCCGGTTCTAAAGTCGTAGGAGCTAAGCACCTCATTTCTGGTTCTTGATCAGTCACCGGATTACAAAACTCCCCGTAACTTGCAGACTGCAGTTGGCCATGTCCATAAGATGCCTCAGGATTACTCTGGAAGTAGACCACCAAGTGAACTTATATCATGCGCTTGTGAAGGAAACATTTAAGACAAAGTTATGTATTTATGTTTACATGTAGTTCCATATACCTACGCAGTTACATATTTCTATAGATCTATATCTGACCACAAAGGCGACAATCGTAAAACGAGTCAGAACAACTTACGTCCATTTTTCCTTGCTGGTGTTTTTCTTTGTTGGGCGTTTCACTTTGATGGGAGTTCGTCTGCAAATGAAAGAAACTGAACGATAACTCACGAATAGATATGAAGAGGCATAGCTGTAAAAAAAAACATTTTAGGAAAAATATTTCACAAAGCATGTTAATAAATTATATATATATACGCATGAACGCACACAGCCATATACATAAATTTATTTATATGTAAATATTTATATATAAATAAGATAATATGTATATAAACATTTATGTATATATACATATATATACATACATGTTTATACATAAAGAAATATACATATACACATATGCTTCTTTGCACACACAAAAACAAACACACACATATACATATATATATATATATAAGAAAAAAAAAACGCATATGCATATATACATATGTATATGTATATATATACACAGACATTTATATGCATATATATATATATATATATATGAAAAATAATATATACATATGCATTTATACATATGTATATATACATGAGGTAAAAACATAGTCTATAAATAGCAGTAAAAAAGTATCTAGAAAACTGAGAACTAGACAGTCGGCTTACATCAAATATCACTGAATTGAGGGTTATACAACTTCTAGTAAGTGCTGCAGGTTGATAAGATTTCATAGAAGGGATGTGAATTGAATTGAGGGTTATACAACTTCTAGTAAGTGCTGCAGGTTGATAAGATTTCATAGAAGGGATGTGAATTATCGGATACAATTTTGTGTAAGATACCCAGTGTCCAAATCTAAGTCAGGCAGGAGAAATTGAATGGAATTAAAAGAATGATCAAGCAGTCTTAAGCAGAGACCCTCACAGGAGAGCAGTACTCAAAACGAGGCAGAATGAAAGAAAAAGATCTATCTATATTATTTAAATATTATAAATATCCATTATGTATTCGTTAATGCATGTATATATATATAAACACATACATACATTTGTGCATACACACACCGTATATGTATATTTATCTTATATAAGAGATGACATGTAAAATCACAGGACAAGATCCTCTTTTCTTTTACACGAAAAATGCTTCGAAAATAAGTGATTGCAGCCTTTCACTTCTATCAATTCTATGATAGACCTGTGAATATACATGTTACAATGGTCAACTTAAGGTACAATCGACACATAAGTATTTCTATAATATATATATATATATGTGTGTGTGTGTAAAAATAAATTACATTTATATATATTACATATATACAAAATTGAAACTATCTTTGATATTATTTGAAGAATGTTATTTTAAAGCTTTAATCCGCAGTATAGTTCCTTTAGGCTATCATTACGTATCCGCAAGACAAGTGACTGCAATGAGGGTTGGAAGCAGTTTGTAATTAACCAAAATGGCCACCAGGCCACCGGGCTATGCCCATGAGGGGAGCCCTGCCTGTGTCGACTAACGTCGATTCGCTAACGGGTGTCAGCTTGTGCTGATTCAGATGAGCAGTGGTGTCCAGCCACAGCAGTAACCTCCAGGCCACAATTGCAACTTCTCGCGCCTGGGCGGGGCGCCAACAGCCGACCCCTATCATGAGAGGCCGAGACGTTACCACTATACTAGCATGGAAACATGGCCATCGGCTTTGAGCCTCAGATTTGTAGAATCTGCGAGCTGCAACACACGTTTATTTTACCTTTCTATTGGTGTTACTCATGAACATGTGCGTGATATAGAGGTCATCTAAATCAGTTTCGAGTCCTTACTACTACAGGAAAGTCAACCAATCTGTTGACTCGCCATGGTAAACTTCACATCAACAAAAAATCACGCATTCTTGCCTTTACTGACACCCTACTCCTTAGAAGAACTGTGGAAGTACACCGCGGTGTTCACAAGTAGTATAGAGTAGATTCTTGCAACAAATTACCTTAAAGAGGAGGAAAGGAAAGCCGATGCTTGGAGGAGGTATCGGTGCGTCTGCCACATTCAGCGCACACTTCTACTCCTGTGGTAAACGTGTTGCCGTTCTCGCGCCCTGATTGGCTAACTCAGTCGCCATTTCGTCACTATGCTTGGCTAGGAGCATCTTGACTTTTCTCAGCTAAAGCAGGTGGTAGTAAACCGATCTGACTTTAATATATTGTTTCGTAACATTGTTTTTCCTTCTGGTTATGATTATACAGTAGTTGTATATTCACCTACTAAAACGTAAAATGAACGGATCAGGCAACGATGTCTGAGGTGCCAATTAGTCATAAAGAAAAGCAATTTGTGTTTTTCTTGCTTAACTATTCCATTGCTTAATATGGCACGAATAAGAATTCAAATGTAGAATCAAGTCTGCTATAATATGTACCGAACGTAAAGCAAAGGAATTTCGAATGTTGCCACAGCCGAGGTTTTCAGTACTGCGTATAAAGAGAGTGACGTCAGAGACTTCAGTGTACGTGTACTGCCACAAACGTAAACGCGAAAAAGAAAGAAAAACAAAATACAGACAAATGCACACAAGCACACATATACGCACAACCAAATGTACACACAGATAAACACAAACACACACACACAAATGCACACATGAACACAAATAAACAAATAACACACGCACACACATTTCTCTGTACAAAAATATATGTAGATATATACATATATATACACACCACACACATACATATATGTATGTACATATATATACTATATAGGTATATATATTTATGTAAATATATAAATAACTATTTGCTGATGTTCCATATAAATATATGAATATATAAGTATATGTAACTTCGCTGATTATCTATACATACAGTATATATACACATATATATGCATATATAGTGGATATGTATATACATATACATATATATATATACCTATGTATATAGACTGTATATATAAACATACATACTGTATTTGTATATACATATACATATATATGTATATATGTAAAACTGTATTTCCTGATGGTCCATTTATATATATATATGCATATGTATATTTACAAACAAGCATATGCATACATATATATGCATATATAGTGGATATGTATATACACACATATATATACATATACTGTATATGTATATATATATATATAAATACAACTGTATTTGCTGATTGTCCATATATATACAGTATATATATGCATATGTATATTTACATACATGTGTGCGTATATGTATATACCTTATATGTGCACACTTATATGTATACGTGTATATATGTATATATGGATATGTATGTATATATATTTTATTTATCTATTAATATATATATGTATATATATATATATACAAATATATATGTATATATATATTGTGTATATATACATATATATATGCATATATATGCATATATATATGTATATATATGTGTATATATACATTTATATATATTTACACACACACAAATACATGTATATATATATGTATATATATATATGTAAATATATGAGTATGTATATATATGTATATATGTATATCTATGTAAATATATAAGTATGTATATATATGTGTGTGTGTGGGGATAAATATGTTTATATATATCATATATATTATATATAAAGTATATATGTAATATATAAGAATTTATATATATATATATGAATATAATATATACACATATATAGATAGATACATACGTTCACGCATGGATGTTATATGCAAACCGAAAGCCAAAAGCAAGAGTCACAGCTATATAAACAGACGACCATCACAGACGCAAAATCGCACATATACCCACAAAAACACACACACACAAACTACAACGTAGACAGAATATATATGGATAAGAATGGCATAAAGTTATCTTCAATAAATATCTAGTCAATGGGAGGAGCGTGTGTGGACTAATCTGAGAGTTGGTATTACATAAATAGCTTTACGCTACTGATACGCGCTTTATGCTACAGTATTAGCAGCTGCTGAATGGAAACATTATTTTTGAACTACACTTACTGTAGATTCATACTAACAGCCAGAACCAACGGGTGTGTGAAACCAAAAGAGAGCATATATTGCTACGGCAGGACCCAAATGCATGCTGCAGGTACTTTGTGACACCTAAGTTCTGTTTAACACGGAGGCCCAGATTCATCCAAGAAGCTTTAGGTTTGCTGACATCTGAACCAATATATTCATTCTGCGATCTACACTTTACGCTTTCTATTATTTACAAATACTGATGAACTTTCATCAAAAAGTTCGTTGTTATTTTTTAAACATCTAGTAGGTGATCCAGATTTTGACTTTAGTTTTTGGTATTTACTTTTTGGTATTTTCCCATGAGATCCTCGTCTAGAAACCATCCAGTGTATAGGTCACTTTGTCTTTAGGTATGTTAAGTAAATTATGTAAATTATGTATACCTTAGTTTTAGTCTTTAGTTGTGTTAAATAAAAGGACTTAATTATTTTTCTAGAAAAATAATCTATCTTATCATTTTTGCATAAAGTTCTACATATTTCTATATTAGTTTTACTAAGATTAGGACTGTTATATTTCAATGGTACTATTAAGGAATATTAGGGTTGCATGATTGATATTTTAATAAAGAAAACAATATGTATTATTTTTGTTATTGGAAAGATTCATTTAAGTTCAGAAAATATGCATGAAATGTTTTAGTTATATTTGATAACTTTATATTGTTTTATCATTCCTAAGCTAACATAATTGTTTCTTGTCTAGGAATGTTTTTTTTTCTTGTTTGTTTGGTTTTGTTGAAGTTTTGGTTTTCACGTTCCTGGTGTTGTGAACTAGATGGGAAGAAAATACCATCTTTGGGAGTCCATGGAATTGATGAAGGAAATGTTGCCATTATGGGAACCCTACCCCATGTGACCAGAAGGAAAGACAAAGACCGCAATGCAATATCTATTGATTGATTACTATTCTTACCATTGCATAGCAAACTCAGGATATTAGCATTAAGGATAATGACCCTGGAAATGAATATACTGAACTTGCTAGGGAAGAACCCCTGAGTGGCATGGTAATACAACGAAAATCGTCTGCAGGACAAGCAGCTGTTCTGCCCCTTCTCAGAGACGAAGCGAGAACTTCCCCTGTGGCGAAGAGGTAGTTTCAGAAGGTAGTTTAGTAAGCCCAACCCTCCCTGCTAAACTAACCACTAAGTGGCATCAGTGTAGTGATAGTAGTATGCTGAGTATTTTTGAATGAATGGTGTTCAAGTATGTGCAATTGGTGAAACTTTAAGGACATCCACATTATTGGGCAATGCTTGGTGGACACAAATACTTTAGATCTTAAACCATATGTGTCCACTGAGCACAACCCCTTAAGTTAAAGTGCCACATACAAACAAGGGTGGTATCATCATCATAAGGGGGCATCTCCTGGGGTCCCTCCGAGCGAGACTCCATGCAGCATTCCTTCCCACTCCCAGTACATCTTGGCAGATCTGATCGACTTGCTTCAGCCATGAGTTCCGTGGCCTTCCCCTTGGTCTTCTCCAGCCTGGGTCAACCCTCTCGGAGATGACCCTATGAGCCGGATCTTCCTCAGGGAAACGAGCCACATGTCCATAGAGCTGAAGTTGGCGCTCTCGTATCAGACTGGTAATAGGTCTTGAATCAGTCTCATGGAGTATCCTCTGATTGGACACATGGTCCCTCCAGGTATACCCCATGATTCTGCGAAGACACTTAGTACCGAAGGAGTTAAGACGGGCTTTCAGAGCACTGTTCAGTGTCCAGGTCTTACACCCGTAGAGCAAGACCGGGATCACCAGTGCTCTGAAGAGCCTGATCTTAGTTCTCCTAGTCAAATACAGTGCCAAATACTCCTATTGAGTGAGTCCATAACGCCGTAGGCCAGTCCGAGTCGTCGAGTGACTTCCCGGTCGGAACCTCCGTCGCTCTGCACTACACTATCAAGATAAGTGAAGCTATCCAAGACCTCAATGTTCTCGCCACAGGCATGCACAGACTGAGCATCGACATCCAAAAAGTCCCCAAATTCCTGAACCTTGGTCTTGGTCCAGTTGACCGCGAGTCCCAATGGCTTTGCCTCCTCATGCAGCGCCTCGAGAGCTACTTCCAGGACCTCTAATGTCTCTGCTAGAATCACTGCATCATCGGCAAAGTCAAGGTCTGTGACCTTGAAATTACCAATTGATGCCCCACAGGAACTACGGTTCACGGTACGGCTAAATATCCAGTCCATACAAGTGTTGAAAAGGGTTGGGGCCAGGACACATCCCTGTCTCACCCTGGCAGACACCGGGAAGAAGGCAGAGATGCCCTCCCCACACTTGACAGCACTCTCAGTATCTGTATACAGGCCAGACAGCAAACCAATAATTCCAGGGGGGATCCCACGGAGACCCAGTAGGCTCCAGAGGCTCTCCCGGTGCACTGAGTCGAAAGCCTTCTTGAGATCAACATAAGCTGCAAGCATACCCTGTTGAAACTCAAGTCGGCGTTCCACAAGGACACGAAGTGCTAAGACACGGTCTATAGTTGACTTCTTGGGTGTAAAACCAGACTGCTCAGGTCTCTGTGCTCATAATAGGTGGTCGCGCACTCGTGCCAGAAGCAGATGAGCGAGGACATTGCCTGGTACGCTGAGCAATGTAATACCTCTGTAGTTGCCACAGTCCTTTTAGTCCCCTTTCCCTTTCCAGATAGGGATGACCAAGCCCCTTTTCCAGTCAGGGGGAATGGTACCAGTCTCCCAAATGGCACACAATCCCACAGACACCAGCCGCCTTTCCACTTTTCAGCTTAGACACTGCCCTTCTCACCTCTTCGATGGAAGGTGGTGCCTCACTGATTGGTGGATCAGCCACTAGTGGCTGTGTGCCAGCCAACGGGAGTTGTGAGGACGGGGGATCTACCCTATACAGTTGCTCAAAGTACTCAGCCCAGCGGGCCCTATACTCACCAGGCTGTGACACAATGCGACCATCCTCTGCTCTCACTGAGCCCGATTGAGAGATGGACTTTGATCGGAGTTCCCTCAGGGCTCGGAA